TCAAGAGAAGGTTAAGAGATTCGTTAGTAAGGATGTAGTCACCTTTTTCCAAATACGAAATAGAGGACTATGTCTAGATAGAAGCAGGTTTCCTTAGGCCTTAAGTTAGGAGTTCAAACACCAGTTTTCGTTTTTTTTTCACTTTCGAATGAGCCTATGAGACGAATCCAAGGCAAGAGTGAAAACTGAACTCTAGAAGATTCTCCTCTTCGGAAGCGTTCCAAGCTAGAGAATTATCAATTCGTTGCGTGAGAAACTTTTGAGCAGGTAGAAGGCAACGCATGGACAAAGTCGATATTGCAAATTACGGCGGCATCCTTTGGGACTGAGCCAAGGAGTGGGTAGAACCTTGTTAAAATTAAAATTCCGTACTAATGTTGGAGTCTCCCCAACCCTGCCACAGACTCACATTAGTCAAGTGTACAACAAAGTAATAGATGTTGGGCGTACATGCACGGAACACAGAACTATGCTTCAATTTTAGCAGCGCTCTGAATGCCAGAAAGGGGTTAAAAAGTTGGAGCGCTGCACCTTTTGACACCGGCTTTCGGTAAAAACCTACTCATATAGGTTTCCGATGGTCCATGTAGTGATAAGGCATCCATTACTATACGCTGGATACATTTTCCGAGGTCATGCAAGCGCCAATCGAAAATGCAAAACTTTGTCACCACGAGGAATCGAACCATGGACCAATTTCCCCTTTTTTGGCGTTCAGAGGGCCGCTCAGGAAAAATAAAGCATAGTTCTATGTTCCATGCATGTACCCCTACATAATGCAAAAAACCGTTTTGAAAAAGCGGTGCGTGAACTGGAGGACCTTCCTGATAAGGTGTGCTGCCGCCACAATGCCCCCGTATTTTCTGATTGAGCTCGAAGAAATCCTTGCAATTTCCTTCCCTGTTACTATTTTTAACTTCCTAATTAGTCTTATTTTCTGGTTTGTGTACACACATGAAACCGTGTAGGATCCTTTTAGATGACATATCTCATCTTGCTTTCCATTCACGAGCTTACAAATAGTGCAGCTAATTCCATTACGTTGGCCTAGCGAATTCCCCTCAGCCGACTGTGAAAACCTCGTCAACAACGAACACAGATGCCACATGCGCAAAATGAGGGTCGCACGACGGCGCTAATGCACCAAACACCATAGTAAGTCCCACGTCACAGGGGCTACCTCAGCGCAGACCAAAGCGCATAAAAATTTCTAGATGATCACTTTAAGGATGGAATTGATGAGACACTCAAAAAGGAGATACACTGGTGTGGGTATTTAATTTAGGGATTTTTGAACGGTAGCTCTTAACCTATTGAGTATTACTGGCGCCTTAACTTTTTGGCTCTATGCGCAACCTAACCCACATACAAAGTAGGGCATGACCAACAGTGGGGCGCCTAACGACAAGACAGATTACAATGAACGTTAAAGCGTCCATGTTTTAAAGCTATCAGACAGAATTTATGAGTACTTTATATGTCTCGCTCTCTTACAGTTTTGCACGGCTACGTGTAACCCATTTCGCAGGTCCATCCACAATCTTAGCAGATCGAAATTTACTGCATGATAAGCGGGAAATCCACCACCGAAATAATGAGAAAAGTTTTTGTTATTGTCTAGCTACAGAGGCCGCCTTTGATTGAACTCAGCTGAAAACGTCTTTTTTGGTTTTTAAACTGTTTAGATAATTCAAAAGCATCGTCAATACCATCTTTTTCTTACACCTGAGCCCTTTAATTAAATCTATGCTAATAGGAAATTTATCAAAGTCACTTGGCTCATCTATATTCGCATATTATTGACTATTCTCGCGATGGTATTGATCATGCTTTTGAATTATCTGAACTCGCAGAACCAGAAAGTGTCCAAACTCTCAATTTTAGGTGTAAGCTGTAACAGATGGCGTCTGATTCGGGGGATTGGCGGCTCTGATTTAGAGGAAGGTGTATAGGTGTGGGGAAAGCGGGGCTTGGGAAGGGTGAGAAGTTTTTCAGTAGAATGACTCACGGTTCGAAGGCTTTTTTCTGCTAACTGGCTTATCATTGCTTAAAAGGTAAGAATGTTTTAAAGCTGTTCAAGCGGAGGATGCAGGTGGAGCCACAATAAGACAAAAGTCCAATAGGGCTCCACCGCACTCGTGTAGTTTGGTCCGCGAAAAATTGGAGTTCGATTTCGGACTGCAGTTGAAAGACATAGTTTTAGAATGGTACAATTAGCTTTTCCAGGGTAGAGACCATGGCACAAATTAGAGTTTTTGTTAAAATTAGCCAGGTTCACATAAAATTGGTTCTGCCGGGAACAGCTAAATATTTACCTCGAAAGTTTTTTTTTTTTAAATTTGTACATACTTCCAGCGTCAAACTCCTGAAGTGCAAAGAAGCTCTGCATTTCGCCTAGTAGTTCAGAATGATCTTTCACTTAATATCTCTGATAGTTTCCCATCCAGAAATCTCACTCTTTTTCTCTTGAAAATGGACTAGAACGAGAGTCAGTTTTGCGAACCGTAGATCTATCGTATACATGGAATCAACACCACTTGCAAGGTGCGCTTTGCCCTCGTTAAGTGTAGCTTCTGGCAGCCTAGTTTAATGGCATTTTCGCTCCATTGTTGTTGTAGGTCAGAAAGCAAAGATTGTCTCTAGCCCACCTCTTCCGTTCGATCATGTTCTACTAAGATTATTGTGTTTATTGATGGCGCACCTTGAGTGCATTATAAACAAATAAAATAAGTAAATAACTATTATATATGGCGGCGAAAATTCTCAAATTGGATCCCTCACCAAAGCTTGAATAATCTGCAAAGGTCGATAAATATATTTTCAGAATATGTCATTTTTTAAGTTCTAGAGGTACCTACTGGCACCATGCACTGCTTCGACTAACGAATCTACTTCACTTGAGCTCCAGAATTCATTTTTCTTGAAAGGCTTTGGGTTTTAATTGAATCCTTTCCTCTCTCGCTCATGAAATCTTCACTGTTTTCCTGATGGACTATAAATTGTGCGCGCAAAGACAATAAAAACACTTCAATGCCTTTTCAGCTCCCTTTCTCGAAATCCCCTTATCGATCGTTTTGTCCTAAATGCTCTAAAATCTTTTGGATCCTATTGCTTACTATTTTTGACGGCACAGAGCCTTTCAAAAAACTGAATATTTCAAGGGGTACGAGACCAAAACAATCGTCAACATGGGGGCGGAGCCAATGAGCAGAGAGCAGGCAATATCGATCTCACTACACACTCTGCACAGCATGTTGCTGTGTTGCTGTTGGCCAGTGCATAAATGTGTTACGGTAAGCTGCTTCCCATTGATCTTCATCGGTCAATAATCATAAGGTCTTAATTTTCTACTTAGGTACTCTCCTGTTTCGACACCCTCATTGTGGCGATTTTCACCTACAAGTCCTTAAACCTTCTTGCACACACTATTTATGAACCGTAAGTCTTGTTCCATTAGACTTTTTTCTCTGAGTCAACGAATTACTGAGCACGGCATACTTCCCAGAGGCTAAGCTCTGCCAGTCTAAGCTGTGGGCGAGTAAATCCAATTTTCTCATGCCTCACCCGTACAAAGACTAGCGTGTGCACACACATACATACGAACGGCTTTTAGCCACAAAAACTATAGGAGGGATAGCACACTGAATGTTGCCCTGGAAACGGGTACTTCCTCCATACCAAGATAATATGCAACCCCACGAGAAACCTTCAACTCTAGTGGTTATAAAATTGGCAGCAGATTTGCGCTTCAGGAGGCTGTACTAATTGGCTAAACTTTTTTGACCCTGCTTAGGGTTTCAAGCGAACTGTTGCTGCTGGAAGAACAAAATTCCACCGTTTGGGTGCATTACCTTACTTCCACATTTTCAAGTGTTAGTTGATAATTAGCTGCAAAAGAAGTTGAAAAACTACTGGTGATTACATTTATGTGCAGAATCTCAACGCTATTAACTGTGCGAAAAAAATTTGTATTCCTCTGCGAGAAGAAGGATATACGCCATCAAAATTTCTTCAGGCATACTTTCTTAAAAATAAAGTTGTCTTCTCTGCAAAATAATTTTTTTCCAAATCTTTCATTTACTCGCTCTTTGTGTGCATATATTCAGTACGGAAATGCAAAAAGAAGGAGAGAAAGCTCATTTCTTATAGGATCGGATATTTAGGCCTATCCTGCGACTAAAACTGTTTTGTCGAGCGCGTTAAACAATTGAAAACAAACGAAATGCTGGCTATCTGGCAATATATGACCTTAACTTTTTTGACGAGTCATAGTGATAGTATGGATACGTGACGCGACACTTGCTTTCCTCAGTTGTACCCTACAATTTTTGAAATAAAACTAATCTTGCATATTATTTCGCAAGTTTTTCGATTGGCCGGTCAAATGCTCTCTTACACGGTCCACATACGGCTGCGATCTTGTAATCATTACGTTCAACAGTACTAAAATGTTCGTACCCGGAAAAGCGCGCAAAATCCTTCACATAATAAATAAATAAATAAATAAATAAAAGAAAAAGTAACTTGAGACCGACCAATTGCCTTGAGAGTTTCTCACTAAAGCTCAAGGAACTCCTTTCGGTGCGGATCTTCACCCTCACAAATATGTTTTTTGTTTGGCTCTGTCAAACTGGTCTAAAAATTAGACTCTCCGATCTAAAAATTGACTTCCCTAATTCTTTAAGTAGTTCAGATACACTTGAACGGTCTCTCATAATCACTGAAACTTCATTCTCGCTCAGGACTACTGCGGTGCTGTTGGAAGGAAGACTTTCTCTGCTCCAATTTTCTGTCAACCATCTCTTCTTTCCATATCTCTACTACTCCCAATCGTTAATTAGTCAGAAAACTAAGGGAAAACAGTAGAACAAATGGGATCAGACGAAGCATCTTTGAATTAAATATCTCCTTGGAAAGCAAATATTTTTGACAAAAACTTTTCACACGTTACTTGAAAATTGTTCAAGTTCCCTCCGCAGAAGGAGGCGACATAACTAGTTTCATGGAACTGCTGCAAGATTGCTGCTTGTCAAACTTGTTTCACTATTAAATTTACAAGTACCATGTTTTCTTGCTTCGCCAAGAAATCGCGTGCAAGTATTGAGCAACCTTCCGTTTCCCACTCCCTTCTGCCCTCTCTCACAGCCACTGCAATAAATCATGAGCTTTTTTCAGTGCGGCTGGCGACTTCCCTCAATTCCTTGCGTAACTTGCAGGAAGGAAAAGACCTCTTCATAGAAGCAGCGACACTCTTGAGTGAATCAACGAATTCCGGTTCACCACGTAGTATTCTTTTGCAAGCCTCGTCGTTAAGCATAACAACTCCCCAAAGAGTGTTTACTCGCGGCGCTGGACTGACCCTGGGGAACCCCGCATGAGTGTCATATGAGCGTGCGACACTATATTTCAGGCAAATGACCTCGTATGTATGTCGCAGCGACAGCCTTCAGGAAGTGATTGAAAGGAGGCTTGAATAGCTGGGACAGGATTCCAATTATCAATCATAATCATATCATTTAATCAAATCAAAATATGACATCTTCCTTGTGCAGCTCAAAGTTTACAAGCGACTAAGGAAAACTTCCATATCCATCCAATAATTTATGATTAAATACCTAAATTTTGTTAGGGATCAGATCGAATTTTCTGTCATGGGAGAAAGAAAAAGTGAGACGTTCGGTATTCTTTACACTGCCCTCAATTTACTGGATTGAATTGTAGAGGTTATATTTAGGTTTTCAAAGAAGCATTTTCGCTGAAGAGAAGTAATTAAAATTAATTATTTCAACTTTTTTTTTCACTTAAAGACAACATTCCAAAGAATAGAAAAAGAGGCTCATTGAACCATCAATGCTGCCAATAGTTGGTGCTGTAAGCAGCTAAAAACCCTCATCACATAGAAAAATTGCTTAGCTGCCTTCCTAATCGACGTCCAACGCACCACGACTAAATAGAATTAGTCCGGAAACTCCACCAGAAGTAATAGGAAGGCAAATTCTATTGATTCCTGGAAAAGGCCAGAAAATCTAGAAGAAGGGCGACCTCCATGTTCCCTTTGCTTGATGAGGAGAAATAACCCTGAGTTGAAACGGTGGGAACCAAAGGCTGTCTCACAAAACTAACAATTCTTAATTGGAATAGTAGTAGGCAAAAGAGGACCAATCGTGAAAAATAAATAATCCAAGGTAAGAGCTCATTTCAAGTAGGTTACCGTCATTCCCCGATCTGCTGCATTACCCATTCTATTTTATTCTTATTCCTGCCTAACATTAACATACCTCTTACTATGTACATATCAAATGCTCTTCTCTAAGTCTATCTCACAGAACCAAAGATTCTGTCTAGATGAAGATCAAAGAGTATAAAGAGCGTGGAGGAGCCGTACGGGGAGCATCGGCCTCATTGTTAGCAGCACACAATCTCAATTTCCAATCAGCAACCCTCGAGATTGCTTTGGGTAATATGAAGAGAAGATCATCTTATTTGCCTCGTGAACAAGAATAGAACAGTAGCGAACGAAAAAGTGGAGCACTGCGAATCATAAGGAATGCCAAAAAACAAAAATGACCGCATACTTCACATTTGCGTGCTTACGTTTCGTTAAAAATCCACATCAAACTGAAATAAAATTCAAAAAAAAAAAAAAAAACTATTGATTCATGTTTTCTTTTTCTTTCCTTGCGGAATTTGGAGCTTCTCATATTCGTGCATTTGACTGGCATTGCTCAATCCTTCTTCTAAGTTACGCACTACCGTTTTTTCAGATTTGTTTGAAAAAATATTGGGCAATTTGATCGATGTAACATAACTCGAAAACAATCCCCCGTCATTGAAGCTATAATTCTTTCATATAACCCGTGACATCTCCGCCGTTCGATAGATGGGAAGCTACTAAAGAAATAAGGGGTCATTTTGTGAAACCTAAGTTCAGCAAGTACTGAAAGAGCATCTACATTACTTATTGTGCTTGTAATTGTGAAAAAAAACGAAAAATCGTTTCTAGTTTTGCAATATTGAGAAGTATGCGCTTTAGAATCATCCAAACATTCCAGGCATTGGACGACAATCGTCTCATTCATTTTCTTCCTCTATCTCCATATTGTCAACTACTCGCCATACTTATTATCCTCGCCACTAACGCGTATAGGCACGACTATTGCTATCCACGGTTTCGTGAAAACGTCTTAATTAACATGTGGTCCAATGGAAACGGCGGCAGCCCACGTTACGTCATAGGAGATGCTTATCGCAAAGCGGTTGTACATTTGGTCTGTGATTTGCCGACCAAAGACCAGTACCGGCAAACAAAGCAAACAATAACAAATCAACTGCGCTGCCGCTTTCCTCACTCCGCGATGGCCTATCTGACACGAGAGCTATGAAAATCACGAATCAATCAATTTATATAACTTTGAAGGAAAAGGGATAAATGCAGTTCTTACGAATACGCCATACATTCTACGTCTTTTCAAGTAGCATAATAGCTTAAATATGCTTTCACGAGCGTAATGACTCACTTCCACATCTACAAGCGCTTACTAGAGTTAGGTAAGAGTAAGGTGGTTTAGCTCTCTGGGGAACCTATTATATGTATTACCGTAGCGATCGTAGTGATGCTAGGGATCTGTAAAATGGATCACAGTGTGCCGCAGTGGCATCTTTAAAAAATGAAGAAAGAGATTTCTCCAGACGAGTTGTATAAAATTTCTTTTCAGATTAGTTCTCATTCTTGGACTTATTGTATGCTCTGGCAGCATCCTTCTTAACCTGGTGACTCGATGGCACAAACTCTATGACACATTTTCTTCAGTACATACAGGTAGAATCACTTTCCATTGCTACAACTTATTATAAGCCTAACCACTGGCACATGTTCTTCATGTAGTTGTCAATCAAACTATCATACTCTTCGGTTTTGCAATGGACTGCTCCACAGGACCCTCCTCCATCCACCTTTTCCCATTTCAAATCTGAAACCATAAACTCTCAGAATATGAATTTGGCTCCCAAAATGAGTGGATGGCTCACTCGCTCTGTGTTGTTTTCTATTTAATTACCGTTCTCTTCCTAAAATTAAAGCGCATAATTTGACCGCATAAGTAAATAACAAAACTTATAGGGCGTCCAAAGTAGTACACTCAACTTTGTTGTAACCCGTCATTAATCCCTATACTACACATGCTAGGCTGATCGATCGTTTCGCCGCGAATCTGCAAAAAAAGTCGGCACCAGCTCGCGGCTTTGAAACATAGACCGAATTGATCCCGTCAAATTGCTCATTCCTGACAAACTATACTTCGGAGCAATTGCTCACCACCACAACATCACATAAATAACGATATGTTCAGACTTCTTCGAAAAAATTGGGACGATCACGAAAAGGCGAGGCGAAATCTGACTCAAACTCTATGCAGGCCTTTTCGCGCAGGGGCATTGGACATTCGCGTGTACAGTTCGTTACAGTTAATCATGCTATGAATATCCCTTATCTACGTCTCTCCTTAACATTATCGTGCCACTCCACGAATGCGAAAAAAAGTGTGTGGTTTCACACAGCAGACAGGTGTTTCCTAAGGGCTTTCTTAATTTAGCACATTCGAGCTCTTCCTTACACGGAAGTTCTATCACACATTGCTGGGATTCTCTCCAGTTCCTCAGACCGACCCAACGGCACCGATGCAACCGGCATTTAATCCTGAGTTTGCTCAGACTCCTGGCAAGGTCTATCCTAATTTGTAAATCGTTCGAAAAATAGTGGTATAATTCGACCTTAACAATTGGTTACTGAATGATCTCAATTGAATCTTATTGTGAAGTGGCAATGGCTGATAATTGTATGCTCCCACAAACTCCTGCCATTCCTTCTCTTGTTCCCATCTCTACTGAACATGATCGAACCACTTATCAATCAGACTCTGTTATGATTATCCAAAGACTGTCTAAAACCCTCTATCAGCTTGTTCAGAACCAAATTATTGTAAGGTCAATAATTAGTAGAGTCTAGGTTATGAAATAAGTTCCCAGGTAATTATATCAGGGGCCTTTTTTCTGCAGCAGCGGAAGGATTATGGTAGCGCATAAAAGCCAATACCACGAGTGATTCTATAAAATACTAAGTTCTCCGAAAATTCAACAAAATCGCACTTGTGGAGAAGCGATATAACAAACTAGCGTTGTCATGATTATCTGCTGCAGGAATAAGGCCCTCCTCAAGAATTTGGAGCTTATGTCTCATTTTCAAATCATTCCAGTGTTTGTGAATGTATGTTGCGAACGATACTTTGAATACTCTTTCAAGGCAGATAGTACGATAAAGTAGAGGGGACGAGGAAGGGGCCAGAAGGGGGCACGGCATAGCAAGGGAACCCTAGGCGCGTCTTACTACGGAAGGTGCACCCGCTGCTGCCCTCCAGGGCCTTACCCGTGGTGGCTAATTTTCCTCGCGGCTGCCCACGCCCACCGATTGGCTAACCCCTCGTCCCTTCGCACTCGAGCCGTTTTAGCGGGCGAGGCTGAACATAGCGTTAACGTTTGTCACAAGCACCAATGTGACACGCTCTAACGAGGAAATCAACTGTGACAAGAGCCCTCTTTTGCGGTTTATAGGCCATTTTTCTTGGTTTTTCGCCGCAGTACCACACCTTCGTTTTCGGCAGGCGACCAATTTATCGTATCCTCTGCCTTTAATCGACGTTTTTGTAACTCTAGATAACCAGGCGGTATTGTCTGCTTGAGCGTTCTCTTTCCTCATCATCCACTACAACAACCGCCTAAGAATATTGCCGGTTCTATCCGAGATCTCACGTTCATTTATTTTTCTGTCTATTTGTTTATCGGACACGCCCCATAAAGTTTTTCAACGTTTCTTATTTGTTCTATATATTCTCCAGACCTACGAGTCATGGCGGAAAAAAATCAAAGAGATTTAGCAACGTACACGATTTCACTCCTGCCAGGAAAAGCCTGAAGCAAAGTTTTTAATCAATTTGTCAAAGTGGTCCCTTAACTACAGACTGAGTAGGTATTAACCCACATTCAATCCTTTAGTTTGTTTCTGACTTCCTTTTTTCTTTGCGCTGCAGAAGAAGAAAAACACGGCAGAAGATATCAGAAAATGAGTCGAAAGCATGAACAATTCTCCAGAACAAAAAAAATGCTGACTGCATTCCGTCTCAACTGGGGCGATTCAAATGCAAATGTCTACCAGGATGGGAAGGCATCACATGTGAAACCAATATAGGTCCGTCATTTTCGTTTTCCTAGGAGGACTTGCCTCATCAAAAAACGCAAGATGACTTC